ACGCTGTGTTGAGTCTTACGATATATTTCATGGACAATTGTTTCATCTCTCCCTCCCCCTCGTATCGATCACACAAAAAGAACAATAAGCTTTATCATCTGAGGCCCTGAGGCAATCGACTTTTTCATTTGGTTTAGGGTTGACAAAAAAACGTTAAAAAACTGCAAAAGGTAACCTTTTTTGTTTCCGTTAACTAATTCTAACTTAATCATCTGTAAATCTTTTTTTTTAAAACAACCTACAAATATTTCTATTGGCATTTTTATATTATTACAAGGTAAATTTTTTTTGAATTTGTAATATTTATTTATTTTTAAATTGGAAGAAAAAAGACTATTAGTATCATTGGCATTATCAGCTTCATATGTTTGCATTAATCTTTGTAGCAAGGGACACCAAAATTATATTATACAACCAAGAAAGACCTTGTGAGCGATTTCTTCTTGGATGCTACACTACACCCTTTTGGAGCGAATTGGGGTGGTTCGAGTGATTGTTCCATAGAACTTCCTGGGTTATCTCAACAAAGTCAAGTCTACATTAACTTGTGAAAACATAATAGTTGTTAGCAGACACCTTTGATAAAACTAGTCTTTCTCAAGAGACAAGAGAAAGAAGATGTTGAGAAGACAGATGCAAAAGGCTATTTATGTTCCAAAAGAGGAAACTTTCATCATCCAGATAAATGGCTATAGGCTTCCACGCCTAGGAACTCTTCATCCAGGGGCAAGAGCAAGGCGACAGTCATACAGCCTTTGTTCTTCACTGCCTTGGGAATTAAGTCTTATATTGGCTTTTATTTTCAGGGCTGCTTACTTGCAACACCTTTCTCCACTGTTTAAAAAACGCAAAAGAATATAGGAGGTGCCTAGCAATCCCTCCAACGGTGCAGATCTACATATACGTAATCCTAGCAGGCTTTGTGAATTTCTATGAGAAATGGAGATCCTCAGTCATAGACACCATACTCTCAATTACACCATAGAGATATAACACTTCTCACCACAAACACCAACAACTAGGAGAGGATTGCATTGAGGTTCTAACCCAGGATGTGACAAGGAGGTGTGGGAGATGGATAGGAAGCCCAGGTCAGAGACTGAAGGCTTGACCTGGAAAAGTTCAGCAAATGAATGGCTCACAAGATCATCAAAACAACCTATTGTAATCTGTTAGTCTCACTGTAAACAACTAATGAATTATTAAATGAAAACCATCTGCCACCATCACTAATGCAAGTGGGATTAAGTGAATCAATCAATAGTGACCTGCTGCAGACCATCCATGGCCGTTGGATTGAAAAATGTTATAGCCAGCCATTTACCTGTACTTGTTCTTGAGAACATATGCACTCCACTAAAATATTGCTACATGTTTTAACCGCTTAGGCACAACCTTGTGAATGCTGATCAAGGGTTACGTGCATACTTGTAATATCTGAAAAGTAATATTAAAATTTTAAAACATAAAATATTTAACTAGAGAGTCCTTAAAAGAAAAGAAAGGCAAAACATTAAATATTTTATCATGCAATAATATAAAGTAACAAAACATTATTATGCTAATATAAATCATTTGTATATTAATTCATTTTTAAATAAATAGTGAATATTTCTAGAATATTCTTACATAAGTGTATATTTTCTTAATGGATATACCTAAAATATTCTAGCATATTTTATCATCTAACAACCAATAGCTAACACAATGTTGATACCGTGTGGAATCAGATCATCCGCAATGGACAGGCAAGGTTTCTTCACTGCGACGATCCCTCCATTCAGCCTGGCGTCATAGACAACGCTCTCATTGTGTGGTATTTATTCAACAAGATTTACATGGTCAGTTTGTCGTCTCTCATAAACTAGCTTCCCACGTCAATGATCAAATTGCTATTATGGATGTTGGGTTGTTTGCTTTGAATGCTTTATTCATCTTTGTTCTGTTTTCTTGTGTGATCCGTCATTCTGCGTTGACAGTAGGGCACACATAGGTGGTTCATTCGGTGTACAGGGCGTTGAGCAGCATGGGATTTCTGCTGGGTGTTCTTCAGGTAAACAGGTAGATCTCAAGAGACGCACATTTAGTATGGTGCTGATGCATCGGCCGTTTAGGGTAGGACACTATCAAAAGGAAGAAAAGGGATTCCCTCCTAAGCATTTAAAATCGTCCGGTCCTGTTCCTGTTCTTCATCCTATCGAGAAAAACTAGAGCTTTTCTACCAAAACTATTTTCAGCTGTGTGTCATTTACAAAAAACTTACACTCTACGCATCTCACTCACAAGAGGTTGTTTACAGTAGCAGTTACACAGTTGGTTCGTCTCAACTCCTGCAAAATCAAAAGAATGGAAAGGAAGTCAGTGATGGAACAAACTAATCACGCGAAAAACTATCATACCTGGACGATACGATCGTCCGAGACATGCGGAAGAACTTCTCTCACCATGCCCACCATGCTTCTCATCTGAGGCGTGAGACCATCTGTAATGGAAGTAGCCGGAGTGGATCCAGCTTCCACCTGGTGAGGTTGTAAACTTGGCGACGCGCCAGAGGAGGAAGAGAAAGGCCAGAAGCCCCAAGTGGTAGAAGAAGGTGGCGAGGAGGAGGAAGAGGAAGAGCTTTGTTGATGGTTTCGTGTGGACGATAGCTGCCGCATTATAAGCTCGATCCGGCTGAGGCCCCGTGGAGCTGATGATGCCGAGCCTTCTCCTGGCGATTGACGGGCGTGAGAGCTCCCGGAACCGGAGAAGTGTCGCACCATCAACTCTAGCCTTCCGAGGCCTCGAGAGTTTGAAGCGGCGTTGTCAGAGGAGGAGGACTGCCCAGCTGCCACCGTCGTCCATTCCGAATCAGATCCAGAACCTCTACATCGACGCATTAACAGTGTCAAGCTTCGATGACGAGCAAAGGTGCCTACCTCCACAAACTCGCCGCATTGTGTTGGCTCGTTCTCGTGAAGCTCTGGTGGGAACGTCCCAGAGTTCTTAGATTTCCCATGAAAAGGGGCCTTCGACAAGTTGGACATGAGTATGTGTCTGCGAGGCCTTGATCTAGCCTGCACAGGGCCAAGTTCACACACATGAGAACATTCTTAAACATGAAAGTTTACCATGAACGCAGGCAAGAGAGGTGGAACAGATGAGCGCATGGAAGTCTCTTCGCTTTCACCATTGGCTCCTGAAAACGATGGTTCGCTTTCGTCAGTAAAGTGGAATGCTGCTGTTAGACACTAACTTTACAAATAGCGCAGTCGTCGTCATACGCCAGGAGTTCCTCTTGCGTGGCGTCCGGCAACGCTCCTTGCAACGTGCTCATGGCCGTGCGCATCCTCATAAATCCCTTAATTCGTTTGAGGATTGCACTTAGAAGTGCCTGGAAAAAATGGAAGTGAGTGTACGTGGAACCAACGAGGTCGTTCTTACCCGGAGGTTGAGAAACAGAATGGCATCGACAACTTGAAAGGCAAGGCCCCTCAGCCACCAGATATGAAGGCAGTGTCCCAAAGCCAAGAACAAGCTCAAAAGGTCCATGCCAAAGCTGAAGTTACGAACTATCATTCCCTTCCACTCCCACGACGCACCTGGTCATAATATCTGTCAGCCAAACAAAGTGTAGCAAAGCCAAACACAGCACCTGCGACTGATCGATCAGATGATGGCTGCAAACCATTCGTTGCAGCGGGAGAAGTGTCTAAGGACTGACGCTGCCATGTATCCAATAGTTGCACCCCATGAACTAAAACAGCCTGGAATCACGACAAATGAGAACCAACGTTTACAAAGAAACACTACTAAGACCTGCAACGTCTCAAACGCAATGCTCAGCGGTTCGAACAAAAGTAGCATGAAAGTGCTTATTCCCGTGTCCTTGAAAACCACGAGACACAATTGAATCCTGCGACACCAGAGAATTACAGCTGGTTAGCATGAAGTCGAAACGTGCGAAAACCGTGAAGCTCACCAGAACAAGTCCGAAAGTAAAACCAGGACAAGCACCGAGAAAACACGCAGATGAGCATAGACTGTCGCAGTTGGAGAAGCATTTAAACGGTCCAAGCGATCCCTCGCAAGACCTTGGAACATCTAGAAGAACCAGGTTACGTTACGGCGGTAAAGATCCATAGTCCCCATACCTTAAGGAAACCAAGCACGGCGAACCACGCGAGCCAGAGAGCTATTTGCATCATCTCGGGCTGGACAACCCAGGTGAGAAAGAGTCCCTGTACATCAATGAATCGCTTTAACTTTAAAAAGCCTTTGCAAGGAATCTCGCCTACCTTGAAAAGGACGTAGTTGATCATCCGTTCCACGACTTTCTGAGTCTCCAGGAGCGTAAGAGTACCAAAGAAAATAGTCTGCACAAAGAAGTAGAAGGGATAAGCAACGAAGACAATGGAAAAAAAAAAAGTGCTCAAACCTTCATACAAAGAGCTAGAACAACGAAGAAGTTGACGAGGAGATTGGCCAGCAGCACGATTGTGAGAGACGACTGAAGCAGCGATTGGAGCAATTGAGCTGTGTCGACAGGATCAAATGCCTTCTTGTCCACGGAAATCCCTGGCAAGACCTTCTGGAGGACCGAATTTATCCTCCACACAATCCCGCCCAAGCTAATCGCCGTATACATGGCCACAAACGATCCATAGCCTCCAGCCATGGTCTCGAAATCCCTCTCAAACAAGAAAGGAGGAAGAGAAAGAAGAAGCTCTACATTCGGATGAACCCTATAAACCCAGGGAGCTGAGGTAGCTCCTGCGATGCCGCGATTCTACAGCGATTCTAGCAAATCTTTCTCGCGGCAATGGCGACCGCGATGCGAAATTTACCCGCGACGATCGATCGCTGCGCGCCAGGCCGCGGAATCTTTCCTCCTCCGCCCTGGAAATAAGAGAGGGGAGAAAAACCCTTCGACCTAACAGTCCACTCGAGACTATTTCACTTCTTCCATTTTCTATATGGTGACAAACACACACATTGATTGGATCCTTTTAAATCCTCTCTGGATAAACTTTGCCTCTATTTGTGTGTCACAAGTGAGCGCTTTAAGTTATAAAGAAGAAAAAGAGACAATGCAAAGCTTGTGAGCTCTGGGTTTTTCTTCTTCTTCTTCTTCGTGCTTATTTGGATCGTCGCGAGGTAAAAACAAAAATTCATCTTTCACGCTTTGCGTTGAAGGATCGCTGCAAAAATCATCGCTGAGCCGGGTGAAAAACTTGGAACCAAAAAATCTCTCATGCTTTCCTGTCTCGAGTGGAAAGTTTGCTTCTTCTGTGTGTGTATCTTTTGTTGTTTTTTTCATCGCTAGCTATCACCACCATGAGACGAGCCCGAGTCCGTCGGAGTTTATATCTCCCTGGAATGATCTGGATTAGAGAACAAAAAGACATTCAAGCTTGGAATTTTTCTTGCTTACGATGACTTCCATTGGAGCGAAAGGTTGAGCGTCTCTTTCTTGCTCCAGAGGAATTGGGGGATATCTTACTTTTAAAACTCTAAACCGGACCTGGAAGAACGAAACAGTGAGTCCATGGCTTAGAAAATAGTGATTCCACTCACCTCTTCTTCAAGGTCCATGAACATCTCGTTTTCTTGGTAGTTCCACACCCATAGTTTCTCGTTCTCGTCACTGTTTGATATTTGATCGGATCAGCCTAAGAAACGAAAGCAAAAACTGGATTTTTTGCTATGACTTACAATTTAGAGGGCTGCTGGAGTTGATGGTGAGGCACGATTATGTCTTCGAAAAAACCCATCGACACTGGAAACACGAAAAAATCCCTCTATCAAACCAAGAAAAATAAGTTCTTTCGAAGGGAAACTTACAAACCAGCCCATTCTTGTCGCATTTCTTGAGCTTCGCGACCAAAATCTCTCCTGGAAATGGACGAAACATGACCAGCTGAAACTCCACCTGGAAATCCCCTTAAAAATTCGCTATCTTTCGAGTAAAGGAGATTGCTTACAGTGTAAGTCGGAGCTCCATCGCCAGGGAAAACAAATCCCCCTTCGATCGATTGGATATCGTACAGCGACACGCACAGCCCCAGATCCTTGACGACCTGGAAATATATAAAAACCAACAATGTAGCTTCAATGGGGGAGATTATCGCCGGCGATCGACACGCACCTTGTCCAGGAACAATCTGTGGATCTCGAGCGTGATGGCGTCGAGCAGCGGCAGCACGAGATTGGCGGGCGGGATTCGCAGCGTGTCCCGCAGCTTGGACAGGACGAACATCCTTAAAACCATAAACCCTAAAAACCTATCCACTGGCCTTTGCCTAGTATAGCGACCTTTGGATAGGTTTAGCGCGTGCGAGCACGAATGGAGTTCCTATCGTAGTGGTAGGAACTTCATTTTTTAAAATGCACGTCGGGATTTCGAATCTCTTTACGTTGTTTTTGTTTTTTTTTCTCTTTTATCGCGTGATACGAAGAATCCCATTGCACTGAGACAATAGGATTTTCATATAGTACTTGGAGCCTCGCGAGAGATTGACTTTGGAGCGTTTAGCAGCCGGAAGGTCGTCGATTGTACACTCTGAAAATCCGCGATGCACAAACCTGCGAGCATTCTCTCGTTAGTTTCATGCGTTTTCCATTGTCTTGCGAGCTTACCAGTCGGCAGTGCGCGTTGTTAGGAGAAAGAGTTTCTCCAGTCCGGCCCTGGCAGCTTTTCTTTCGATGTAATCTAAAAGAAAATGAAAAAAGTGGTTTTTGAAGAAGAAAAACTTGAAGCTTACCGAGAAGGCTGTCACCTTGGCCGTGGCCACGGCACTCCGGAGCTACTGCAAAAGCGGCAACTTCTCCTGATTTCTCAGCAGGGTATGGGAAGAGCGCAGCGCATGCGATCAAGCATCCATCTCTTTCCACCACTATGAAATCGTCAACTTCTTGAATGAGCTGAAACAGAGAAAAGGTTACATGAGAAAACGTTACATGAATACCAAGAAGAGTATAGAGGAAGAACTTGCCTGCTGTTTGCTTCTGTGGACGAGGATGCCATGCTCTTCCAAAGGACGAAGAAGTTGCTGGATGCCCAAGATATCAGAGCTTGTTGCCGAGCGAGTCCCTTCATACATATCACTGCAGCACAACAGTTGGATCGGGAAAAAGAAATCAAGAAAAATGTCATACTTGGAAATCATAGTTCCAATTCCATCTCGCGTGTAAAACTCGAGAAGGATTGCACCTTCGACAGTACAATCCAGAAGATGAACACGCGTAACACCGCCCTGTTGGAAAGTTAATAGTAAACCAGATGCACGAAAAAAAAGAGAGGATAGAAAGCATACCCGACAAGCGAATACAGCTGCAGCCAGTTCCGAAAGATGTGTTCTACTTTGTCTTTCCCGGCCGCCAATTGCAAAACCCGAGTTTTGATCCGTATGTGAACTTGCCATGGGACTTCCATTTGAGAAAGAGTCAAGTCCCAGGCTTATGGAGTATTTTGCTCCAGCGACAGCCTTGACATAATCAGCAGCAGTGTAACTTTGGCTCGTTTGAGTTCTGATCGCTTGATCTGCTTGCTCGAGTGTCATGAACTTGACAACACTGTTCTTCTCGTCCACAATCGGACCGTCGACCAGACAGAGCAACTTATCGGCCGTGAGGGCTGTTGCGCAAGAGGTCGCTACTTCATATGTACTGCAAAAACGCTACCAAAGTATGAGATCAAACTCCAAAAGACTACTTATTCGATGAACCTTTCCCATCGTGGACATACTTGCAATTCAAAACGTCTCCAGAGCTCGAGTAGCCAAGGTTGCTAAGGATCACGATGCAGTTGCAATCCAACCTCTCTTTGATGCGGACGATATCGAGCTTCTTCACTTCTCCTGTAGCTCCAAAGTCGACTCCATTAACAACACCTCTCCTCTGAAAGTTTATAGAAAGTCTATAGGAGGAGCAAAGGTCTAGAAAAATACACACTTACCTTAGCCGATAGAAAGTTTCCTCCTGCAACGCTCAATCCAGCCCGTGCAGCTCCACCATGCCGTCGCAACACAGGGACCATTGGACCTCTTGAAAGCTTCGCTTCTATATCCACGAGGATTTTCCCTGCCGCTTCCATCGAGGCTTCAAGAGCGTTAGAGTCTGTGACTCTGTAGGCTCCAATGTAGCAAGGCTCCTGACCTGGAAGAAACTCCCATTTCTTAGTAGACACAATTATAATGCGATGACTACAAGAAAAACTTGTTTTTCTCAAGATCCTAGACAAGAAAGAGCAAGAAGAAACCTTACCCCTTTCTCGGAGAAGAGCATCGATCTGGATATGAGTTCCAGGAACGATCACAAGCTTGATGCCGAGTCCATGTAGAAGAGAGATATCCTATAGAAAAGATGAAATGCCATGCTATGGTTTCTACAAACATACCTGAAGAACATTGTCTAGAACAAGACGATTGGCGATAACTTCACCAGGGATGACGATCACGAAAGTACTGCCCCGATGGCCTTGAATGTATGGCCAGGCTTCGCGAAACCAGCTCACATACTGCCTCTGCTTGTCCATTGTCATGGCAATCCCCTCGCCGCTGGCGCTCATCGCAATGCAGCGAGCTGTGAGCTTGAGATTGGTGGCAGCGCGCAACCATCCAGCGCCAGTGCCGCCAAACGAGCTCGCGTTCTTTGCTCCGGCGTGCACAGCGCCCCCGCACAGCGGCATGGTCGCCATCATCCGCCCTAGCTTGAATTAACTGGTTTAAAATACATTACTTTGATTAAGTCCATTAGCTTCATAAACTGACTTAAAGCAATCGATGGCGATGGCGCTGGAAATGCTGGATTTCTTCTCCATCAATGCTGGTAAATTTTCTTTTGGTGACCTATAGGAGAGCTTTCTCCTAGCTCAATTCATCTCTTCTTCTTGACAATAGCAGATGAGGAAGAAGAGCCAGTCAAAAACACTAACTAGCTCTTTTAGTTGTTTTCTGCCTTTCGGTATTGCCATTCTCTGTAAGTAGAGCTTTCTATATTTCCAGAGGCTTTTCGTTATCGATTTGTAAATCATAGGCACTGTTGTCATAGCAGACAGTTCTGCAATTCGTTCCATCCCCGGCAATTCTCGCAATGTATCCAAGGCAGCCAATTGTCCTCTTTCGTCATGCTGCGCGCTGAAAATCTCTTGGATCAAGAAATCCTCTCGGAGAACCAGTTTTGCAGCAGTCCCAAGGACTTCAAGTAGAAAAGTCTACCGAGGAAAAACAAAGGGATTATACTGCTCTCCTTCTCTGGTATTCCCACTTTCCCGAAAACATCATTATCAATGTTTGAGTCGTCCTCCACTCTAAATATCACCTGGAATGCTTTTGTCTCGCCCTTGTACTTGAACCGCATCACTGATGGATGAACCGACACCGACACACTCTCCGGTGCCTCGATAGATGCGGTGTAGTTCGTCGCACCATCTCGGAGATGGCAATGGATGGATAGTTGAGGTCTGTGGGATTGTCGGGACACGTAGCAGAAGTTTCCGTGAGGCATTGAAGTTCAGTCTGGTTGTATCCCAGACCGCAGAGATATCCAATGTAGTCTTGCTTGTTGGCGTCGTATACTAGGCCAGGGTGTGCAGCAGCATTTGGATTTACGTCCCCTCCACCAAAATGAAGTTGTGATGCAGGAGTTCCTGATGAATTCTTGATTGGTTCTCCAAGATTATCGAATGAGTAACCTGTTTTGTTTTGAAGTGTCATGAACCATGAAGGTTCCAGATGCAAGTCGGTATGGTCCTTCGGAGTTATTGAATTGTGCGTGTGCTGTTAGAATGTTTACTCCTGGAGCTGTAATATTGGGCTGAGAGAACAAAAGTCTTTAAAAACTACCAAAAAAATAGCCTGGATCAATACGGTTGGGACCGGAGGATGCCATGAAAGGAGGAGGCTTTTGATTTCTCAATGTTATTTGACGCTGCATATCCGCTATAGGATCTCTGCCAGGCACACAAAGGTAAGAAACAGAAAGAAGAACGAAGATTTTACCTTGTAGATTTGATATATGAAAAGATGGCTTGTCCAACTTCTTCATCGACATGAATTCAGGGAAGATATTTATTATCAGGATTTTGATCGACTAGAGTGGAGTTGCAAAAGATAATTCCAGCTCCGCCAGCTCGATCAACTTCGCGTGATTGGAACCCTGGCTGCATCGGACCATGCCCGGACTTTCTCGGGATCCAAAGACCGGGTCATACACAATTGCCTGCAGCATTAATAGTGTTCTCAAATCCATACATTAAGATGATATTTTACCTGGCTGTAAAGTTGGAAGTTGGCAAACCACCATCGGCTCCCGCAGCAAGATGATACCAGCTTTTTTAATCTTTGCTCCGTCATACTAAAACCCCGAAATGATTTATTGTTGCCAAGGTAAAGGTCTCCAAAATAGGATCGATCAAGAGTGCTCGATCCAACAGTGATGACCCAAGGAGCTCCATTTTGCACAGAACCAGGACCCAGAGTCTGCTGCGCGTTTCCAGCAGAAGCTACCACCACAATGCCTTTCTGCATGGCATGGAATGAACCCGATCGACAGTGCGTGCTGGAAGTAATCGCCGAATACGCAGAAAGCGTGAGTCTGGAGCGCCACCTTTTGCAGTGCCTTTGCCAGTTTGCGTTTCTCACGAATCGGCCTCCGGCAGTGGAAGCCGTGTGAGTTCCATGGCTGTGAACATCTCTTGGAGAAAGAAGTTCTTCGTGTGCTTTTGCATAAGCCTCGGGACCATCTTGCAGGCCGTTGGCACCTATATGTTTCCTGAAAGATCAAAGTTGAAAAAATTAAAATTCACGTGAGTGTTGTTTTGACTTGTTGCAGTGAGAAGGGTTGAATTGCGCCCCAGTTTCGCAGTTCCTTTCCATCTTTCGGGGATTGGTCGGAAAAGCTTTCCGACTCTGGCCATACTCCTGGAGAAAACCAGTAAAAAGAAGAAGAATACGAAAAATGAACTATGAATCCAAAACACCGATGATGATGTCTTTGCCAAATTTTGCTCTCCTCCATAGCCACGATGATTCGGTAGCTCCGCTAGCACCGTACAAGGATTTCTCTCCATTTCCATAGAGGCCGAGAAACTCCCATGAGTTTGTGGTGTGGACCGTGTGAATTTTGTTGAGAAAGACGGACAACACGTTTGGGAGACCTGCAGTGTGAGAAGAGGTTGACTTACATTTATAAACTTCAAGTTTTTCATGTTTAGCCGCTTGTTCTTCTGTTAGACGAGCCGAGAAGCCACTAAATCCATGCCTGTAGCTAAAACCCAGTGATTCTCTGGCAGCCTCGGCACTGGCATAAACGAATTTGGATGAAGTCATACTCTTTTCTTTTGTGATCAAAGTTTTACCTTCCTAGAACGTCGTGAAGGAGTGCGTGATGGGAGCCAGTAACAGCATCTGGATGGAGCGATTTATCGACATTCCCCAAATAGACAATGTGAGTGTCTCCTTGATCTCGTCCCTGGAAATAGAATATAACGCAAGGGCTTATAAATTATAAGTTATGCTACTTAAGAACCTGAGCGATGGAAATCGCACTTGAACTTAGAAGGATGAATAGATAGATTGAGAGCGCCATGAACTTGGAAGACTTCTGTTGAAGATTTGTATATGATAATTTATATTGGAGGTGTCCTTGTGTAACGCGGTCACCTTTTTTGACGACTAATTCAGGAGAGTCCGCTCGTGATGCTAAATTTAAGAAGCAAGAAACATTCATACAACGATCTGGTGCTGTATGTTCGCTGCAGGGAAGCTGCAACATTGAGCTGAAAACATATAAACTTAACGATTTTCTTCTTTTACCTTGTTGGCCTCGCCAGCTTTGTCCACAAACTTTTCTATGAGCTAGCCAGGGCTCTAGCTTTCCTCTTGCCAGTCTTCTTGAATGCGTTGCTGAAGGAGCCCTAGCTCCGTCAGTCCTCATCTCAGCATACGCATTCCCAAGTGTGGAGTGTTCGACAACTGTGGCTGCCATGGATTACTCGCATTTAAGCGTAACACAGATGGAATATTAAAATAGATTCTTAATAGATAACATTTTTCTTCTTAAAGTAAGCCCTAGTCGTCCAAGTAAAGAGTAGCAAGTAAGTTTGGCAAAACCTTGGAGGCCAGTGGGAGCTGGAGCTGCAAAGATGCCGCGAGTTCCTCCTCCACGGTGCAGTGCCACCTCCTCCTCGACAAGCAGGGCAAGCAACGCCTCCACGAGCAGTTGCTCCTCGGTCACCACGAGTAGCAGGGTCTACACTGGCACCACCGAGCTCGCCACGATCTCCTCAAGCGGCTCCTCGTCCTCCTCAGGCCGTGTCACCACCACAAGCGGCTCCTCATCCTCTTGGGGCAGTGTCACCACCATGAGCACTGCCACAAGAGACTCCTCCTCCTCCTCGGGCAGTGTCTCATCGTCCGCTAGCACCACCATCTGAGGGCAAAGCTCCTCCTCCTCCTCCACGGGCAGTGTCTCATCGTCCGCTAGCACCACCACCATCCACAGGGAACTCGCGGATCATAGTTGTATGGCTTTCCAGTCCCGCAGCAAGATTCTGGTCCGTTCTGAGAGCCTGGAACGATCCGTAACTAGAGAAGAGATATAGGATGCCGGTTACCATTGGACGGAGTCCCGAAAGCTGGCTCGCAGCATGTCTACGGTGATCCTGAGACGCTCGTTGTGAAGAATTGTGATCCAGTTATAGTCGATGGGGCAGCCCATGGTGTCGTGGTCATTGGGATCCGTGCTGGCGAAGCTGGTCAGGAACTCGGGCACCATGAAGTTGGCCGCTCTGAAAGTCGTCGAGAGGAACTATACGAGGAAAAGTATTGGTGAGGTTAAATGTTCTCCACGACGTGGGGGATTACAGTGCGCTCCGCTTCACGAACCGTCCTGTTATCGCGGAAGAATGCATATCTGTTGTTGTAGAGGCCCGATTCCTCGTTAGGCAAAGGCCGGTGATCTTAGCTGTTAAAAATCGCGGGTGAATAACCAAGTAGAAATGGAAGAGATGAAATAACCAACTTACCAAGAGATTGATTCCCAAGAGCATCTCTCACGAGCCACTGGATCTGAGGCATGAGAGGGTATGGGTCTGCCGAGATCCACTCGAGTTGGCAGCCCTCCCTCCTGCAAATTCGAGACAACAATTCCCAGCGCCTGAGCTGCGGATCGCCCAACAGAAGATGAGATTCGAGCAAGGAGAATGATATTACCGACGACATCCAGCATCAGGCGCCCATCCGAGAGCCGCCGCTTGCAGTAGGGCGCCTCGTCCTCCACTGGAGGTTCCCGACATTGCCCCAATCGTCGCCAAAGCTGAAGAGCACCTGTGGCCGCCGCCGCCGCCTTCGCGCTGCCCCTGCGCCAAAATGCCGCACAACACAGGCAAGACAAGCGATGGAAACCTCATCGATCTTACAACCCGCCATTTTTCCCGATGAAAATGGTTTAGGGTTCTAAGTTTTAGCCCGGCAAGATAACTCTAACTCAGAAATGAGTTAAAAGAGTAAAGTTTAAAATAACAAATATAATATTAAATATTTTTAGAATATCAGATATATTTAATATATTTAAGAATATTTTAGGTATATTCACTAGCTCCTAAAAATGATACAAATCGTTGGTACTTTATATTATTACAAGATAATTTTATGTTTTGAATTGCAGAAAAAACTCTAGGAGTATCTTTAGTAGTAGCATTATTAGCTTCCAAATGTTCACATTAGTCCTTGGAGCAAGGGACACTGAGACCATGTTGCAAAACCATCTGTGAAATATAATTTGTTTTTATAAGAAAGCCATAAAAATTTGTTGCAAATGGCTAGTTTTTTTTTAATTATTTCTCAATATTATTTACTGTCACATATAGCTATTTTAAATTATTAATTTTTTTTTGATATACCAGAAGAAGAGATATGTTTGAAAAAATAAAAAAGCTAAAGTAAAAAAGATGAGAGCTCATACAAGGAGAAAGGTTTGATGTGTAAGCTACAAAGGGCAAGTAATGGTGAATTTGGATCTATCTAGAGGTGGCCAAAATGAAGCACATTATTTTCATTTTTCTCCCTCTAGATTCTTCCTGATTCTTGGATTCCTGGTTGGGGCTCGTTTGATCTTTGGCAAGAGATGGAGTGCTAGAGTAGGAATTAGGTGTAGCGTGGAATGCAGGGGTTGGTGTGGCTCCAAGAGTATACCAAACCAAACCACTCTCATGTACAAAAGGTTAAACCAATTAATTTTGATGGTAGAACATATAAGTGTTTAACAAAGTTTATAAATTATGGTAAAATATTCCAAACATATTTGAGCTTCCACCAGAGCTTCCTCGAGCTGCTTTGCTCGTCCCAGCATGCCGATCATGCAGTGGTTGCTCAATGCCCGGATCTAATCCACACCTAGACATCATCTCCTGGAAAAACTTTTTGCCTTGCTCGATCATCCCAGCCCGGGTGCAAGTCGTTAAGTTACACCGTCCGGCTTGACACCCCCCTCACATCACTTGATCGCTGTCTCCCTGGCGGCTGTAGCCCGCGATAAGTGAGCTCCAACTCACAGCATCCTTCCTCGAGACCGAGCTAAAAACCAGCTCCGCTTCGTCCATGCTCCCACAGCTGCCGTAGAAATCGACCAACGAAGAGATCACGGCTCCCTGGAACTGGAACCCCAAGCTCGTGATCTCTTCGTGAAGTATCCGGCCAAGCCTCAAGGCTACCGAGCTTCCACCAGCTTTGAGCGCGCAAACGAGCGTCCACACGTCTGGAGAACATCCCTCAAGTTGCATTAGGAAGAAAAAATGTAAAGCAGTTTCGGCCTGGCTGTTTTCAACATACCCGAGCACCAATGCCGTCCAGAAGACTTGATTTGGCTGGAAAATGGTGCTAAACACTCCAAGAGCATCGCCCATGCTGCCACAAGCCGCGTACATTTGGATCAAGAAGCTGTGAAGAAAGATATCCAAGCGATGCATATGGTTAGTAATTTGCAAGGGTTGCGCGTGAAAAGCCATATCTCTTTCCAGAGACTTCAGCTTGAGTATCCTTCCATGGATTGTATCTTCTCCTCATTCCCTCTTTGCTAGGGAAGTGTTGGCCTGGAACACCGCAACAAAGGTTCTGGCATTTGCTCCACTGCTTTCTCGCTGAAGCACCACCTCGCTCTGCCCATTCTCTACACATCCCTGCATCAAAGAAGTCCATAGAACTACGTCACGCTTTGGAGCTCCATGAAAAACCTTCCACGCATCCACCACGGTTCCACACCGAGCATACATTTCCACCAGGCTGCTAGCTACGAAAGCGTTTGTGTCGATTCTTCGAAGAGCCATTCCTCTCTCGACAGAAGAAAACTTCACGACGAGCTCTAGATCTTGTAAAACCTTCCCATTTTCCTTCTCTGTGAGGCTCGCGCAGGCCTTGAGCAATCCAATAAACGTGACAGAGCTCCCTTGCAAGCCTCGCGATTCCATGTCCAGGAAGAGCTGGAGCGCAACCCCGCCATGCCCATTCTCGGCATAGCCCAGAATGAGAGAATTCCACGCGACGGGGTCGGGGCAATCCATCCGGTCGAAATCCCTGCATGCCTCGCCCATGCTGCCGCACTTGCCATAGAGATTCACCAGGTTGCTCGTCACGAACGCATTGGAATCGAGGCCGCAGCGCTCCGCCTCGGCGTGGATTTGCTTACCCCGGGATCGAGAGCATTCCTTGAGCGACGCAAGGAATCTCCTCACCTCGCAATCGCTGGAGCGGGCGCGGCCAAGCTTGGAACGGAAAGCTCGAGATCGCGAAGAGGAAGAACGAAGGTTTCATTTGATTCTTTGTTTCAAAGGGTCAAGATAGTCTTATAAACGGTCAAGGTTGTCCGTTCTAAAATAACTAGGCTTTGATTACTTAAACAGTGTGTTTGTTTAATTACATTTTTTATTGCCATATAAAAGGGCCTTTTAAGATTCACACAATCAGGGTTCAATGGCAGCGGAGATCGAGAGTGTGGACAAGAAGGCTAACGCTGTGGCAGCAATGAACGCGATCAAAAAGGGAAAGAAGAGGCAGCGAGACAAAGAGGGACAAACTCATACAAGGGTTAGTGCTCCAAAAAGAAGGCATGAGCTTGAGGAGGAGCCTCCTATGGTCCCGGAGAAAAATCTGAGCAGCAAGGTAACATACAAGATTGATGGGTTAGTTATCACTTCCCACAACAATTTTCATGACTTTTGGCCGCGATCAACATCCAAACTACCGGCACCAGACTACCTCCACTGTGCTGGAGCTCAAGAGCTTCACAGCCTCCTCACCCAAGAGCTCTACAGGAGAGACCGTGAGGATTGTGGCCCGAGGAACGCCCAGCTCTTGGTGGTGATTGGCGGGACGAGATGTCATATGATGAGGCGACTTGAGGACTTGTGCCACTCGACTAGACGTGCTGGAGACAAGATCTGGTATGGAGTCCAGATTAAGGAGGGTGGAAGCTTGTGCACACTGTTCAAGTATATGTTTGATGGGAGGAGCGCGAGCATGAGCCGGGACATGTCCAAGGAAATCCATGCCAAGGATTGCACACACAAGACAAACAACATGATTCAAGAGATCCTCTCCCATGTCTCTGGGAACAAGAGCAACAGTTACTTCTCTCCAATCCGTGTGGAGAGCGTCCACCATTGAAATCACCCATGTGATTAAAAGCTTTCACTGTAAGAGAGTACATCAAAATGGAGAACAATTAAAAGTAGCGTGTTATTTTTTTGGCTATCCCTCTCGATCGACATTAGTTTTGCAAACTTGGCTAGCAATTCTACAACCGTGACTCCCACCCACAAGTTTCAGTCTCTTGATTTTGTCCTGGGCCGTGCTTTTACTTAAACACACAGATTATTCATGTTATTCGATATTTCAATCTTACCAGAATGCAACCGTTTAGTGGGCGTTAATGCTTCTTATTAATGTAATGGGCATTTGGTCTAGTGGTATGATTCTCGCTTTGAGGTCGCGAGTCCGCTCCTCCCAATGCCATCTTCCTTTAAGTTGATCGTTGTTCCAAATCAGGTTCAGATTAAGAAAGATTCAGAAATGCGTAATTGCTTATTGAATTTTACAATCAGAAAGGAAACAAACAAGAGAAAAACTGTCACGCTTGCACTGCCCGTGACGATGAAACGGCACACTTCCGGGTGGAGCTTGGATCTGTCAACGAGGCCTTCTTTCCGTCCGGGTCGAGCATCATCGCCGAAAACCTCTCGTTCTTCCTGGGAGCGTTGCTGGATCCTCCTCCTCCTCCTCCTGCTTCTGTAGAGATCGAGAAAGCGGCGGAGCTGCGCGGATATGGTGGAAGAATGCCGTCGGCTACGTGGGATTCCGGGACGACCTGGCCGTTTCTCACGTTGAAAGAGCCGTGCCTTCTCGTAGTATGACTGGTAGATGGAGCGCATCATCGAGCGCGGAATGCAAGCCTCGAGAGTGCTCCTCGGAAGATAACTTGAAAGATCACAGAGCTGGTCCAGGAATATCAGCTTTGCTACGACTGAAAGGAGTACAAAACAAAACAGTGAGATTGCCAGAGGAACAAAGAAGAAAAACCTGGTTTAATTGTGGCTTTGGAGTGCTGTTGCTCCAAGATAAACTTGAGATTATAGTGGTCAATGTGGAGAATAAAACACCAAGGCAAAAGATAATACAGATATGGTGATAGGACTTTTTTTTCTTTCTTTCAAATTTGCAGGAGACCAACTGTGTAACAAACAACCAGATTTGTAGAGTTTATGTTTTGTAAATGATGTACAGCTGAAAATAATTATGAGAAAAGCTATAAGAATGAAAAACAAGACTGGATCTTTATAGGGGTATTGTCAGCACCCGCAACAATGCAACACCCCTTGATAGACCTTGGCATGTCAACCTCTGCCATATCGCTGTTAACTCACAGGTAAAAAACATAACCATCCTTCCTCCAAAGTACCAACACCTTTAGAGGCGGCTTTGGGAGAAGCTCTGTTTTGTGCTTGATAGTAAAGCCGATCATCGTCTGCATTTTTTTAAAAAACTTTTATAAATAATAATAATAATAATAGTAAGAAAATGAAAGAAACAAAGAGCTGCAACAATGGTTCTACGCACATTTTGTTGTCAGAGGAAGGACAAGCTTCCTCTCTATAAGTATAAAACTTTTTTTTTCGTTCTTTCTTCGCACCTCTTTTTGACGAAGATCTTCCGCGTTGTTGGTGAGCGACAAAGCTCACGAAATCTGCTTCTAGTGTGTGCCCAGGCTGCAGGCCAGCCACCACGCACAAGTACCACTCCCCAAGAACACCAAAACATCACTGCGACTAGAAACAATTAAACAACGAGAGACAAGACAAGGAAGAAACGAGGAGGGGAATTGAGACCTCTTACAATCTTACAAGATTTGTGCTGAGCTTCTTCGCTTTGTTGCCTGCGTCCCGGACCCGCCCCCGGTGGGGGCAGTGAGACGCTTGTCGAGCACTGTGCACATTAAAAACTTTGGTTTCCCATCCACCTTCCTTCTCGCCTAGCTTGTCTTCCTCTTTTTTTAACAGCGCGGCCTGTGTAAGAGCGCGAGCAATATACTAGTTAGTATATAATTCCCCTGGGAAGCCCAGACTTACATGTATCCAGCAGTGTGTCTCTCGAACTTGCAACGCAGAATTCCGCGGTCCAGTGGAAGTGCTCTCAGCAGAAGCAGCAGCGTCTTGATTCTCCTCCTCTGGAGAGATGGTGACGACGATCATCAGTGGCAGGGCCAGGCGAGGAGCGAGGATGCAGCAAACTCTCCTCGCCTGGTTGGTTCAGGGGATCATGATGAACTTACTCCTCTCTGCAGCTTCTGCCAGATTGCTACTCCTGCAACAGCATCATCACCGGGATCAAGGTAAGCTGAGATATCACAGAGAGAAAGAGTGCAGGAGAAATGCTCACACCTCGACAGCTCGTTTCAAATCTTCCAGAGTCGTCATTAAAGGCGAGGTTTTGCTTTCCCCTCACTCGTCTCGGCTTCTTAAAGAGGTAAGAGCTGGCACGAGCAATTCATTTCTCGCCGCATCTGATCGCATGGTTTTGGACACAGAGAGTTGTTTCGGATGGGCTGAAAGCAGCGGCAACAACTGCGGCAGAAGCACAAACGCAACGAGTCAGAACTCCGCTGCCGGAAAAGATATCTTCGAGATTTTCTCAAAAACAGGAGATCGATTTCAAGAGCTACACGCTGCATGACAATCGCCACCACCACCAAAAGCCGAGAGAGAGCGAGGACTACACCTTTCATGTAGACTACGCCGGACCCAAGCGACATCCTCCCCACAGTCATTGACCCGATGTTCCATTCTCAGCCACTTCTTTCAGATACTTCAATGCAGGACACTGCCAGCAAAAAGAAAAACATGTAGTAGTTAGAACCTGCTCGAAATCGAGTATCAGATCTTCTTTCACGGCGGGAAAATTCAGCTGCTTTTTTACCTTGTAAAAATTCTCCAATAAAACCTTGAAAAGGAACTTCAATCAGCCACGAAAGCATGGCAGCCTTACGCATAAAAAAAACAAGGACCTTGATGAACATACCAGAAACCGTACAATATAAAGAACATTTGTTCAAGTCTCCCCAAAAACCAAGTTAGTTCGATCAATAATTGCGAAATCCTTACCTTCCCAGTACAATAGAATGCTGATACAGGACTATAACAAAAAAGTATTATATAAGCGTACGGCAAAACAAAAACAAAACAAAAAGAAACCGTTATTCTCCAAACCAAAACCAGCAAAGCCGAAGAATTTGCCACCGCTCTCAACTCAGCAGCCCAGAACATGTAACATAATTGCGTTCTGAGCATGCATTCTATTCTCAGCTTGTGTGAAGACGATGGAATTTGGAGACTCAATCACAGCGTCTGTCACATCAACATCTCGCTCGGCCGGAAGGCAATGCATAAAATAAGCCTGTGAGCCTGCTGCTTCCATCAGTTTCTCGTTCACCTGGGAGTAAAAAAGAGAGGACGTCAATATTCAATAGTATCCAGGCTGCAAAGATGAAAAAGAAAAGAATTTGTTACCTGGAAGCCTTGGAAACGCTCCAATCGAGCAGCTGTTTGATCCTTTTGTCCCATACTGGCCCAAACGTCAGAATAAACAACGTGTGCTCCCTTGACAGCCTCCAGCGGGTCATTCGTAATCTCGATCTTGCTCAAGCCTGCAGCAGTGGCCCTGTTCACGGTTTCTTTATCAGGCTCGAAGCCTCTTGGGCACGCGCATACAAAGTGGAAAGGAACGACCGCAGCTAGTCTCAGCCACGAATGGACAATGTTGTTGCCATCACCGACATAGACAACCTTCGCTAGAAACGTGTAAGAAATCAGACTGATAAAGTCTTTTAAGTACCTTAACGCCTTCAATGCGTCCTACGTGCTCGATAATCGTCAAAGCATCTGCCATGATCTGGCAAGGATGATTATAGTCCGTCAAACCATTTATAACGGGAATGGAAGCATACTTCGCCAAGTCCAATAGATCCTGTACACCGTAAGAGTCAGCCTCTCAGAAGATTTGACCGGTTTGAAGGTGCTACTCACCCTCGCAGTACCTGATGAGCAAAAAGACGAGCCATGATCACGTCGTTATAGCCCGAGAGAACGCGTGCTACGTCCCGAGTTTCTTCTCGTTTCCCAATCTGGATGTCGTCAGGTCCCAAGTAGATTGCATGGCCCCCGAGAAGGAAGAAACCGGTTTCGAATGAAACACGGGTTCTCATGGAAGGCTTCGTAAAGATCATGGCCATCGACTTTCCGTTGAAAGGCCGGAAGCTCCTGTCCCCGGATTTTAACAGAGCTTTCACCTCTACAGCCCTTTCCAAAAGGTGAAGGATCTCTTTCTTGTCGAAGTCGTCGACGTGCAAAAAATGTAAAGGCTTCGATCTTCCTGCAAGAAAAGAAGGGAAAAAAAAAAAAAAAACACAGAGAATGAATAAGATTGACTTTGCAATCCATTTTCACAAGAACAGTAGTCGGGGGCTCGCAGAGAAAAACAAGAACAAGAAAAAAAGGACTATCTCAAACATGCAATGAAAATCATGCACGGAAACAAAAAATCACGAGAACAATCATTGATCAACCAGCAAGAAAAGAAGAACAAGAAAAAAAGGACTTGCAATGAAATTCATGCACGGGAAAAAATAAATTATGAGAACAATCATGAAACAGCAATGAACAACCAACAAAATGTAGCAATTCACTACCAAGACTATCGATTCGCGGAAGCGTACCACCGATCGGGCTAGAAACCCTAGGAGCAACTGTAGGCGAGGAGCTGCTGCAAACGACGCTCAGCCTCCTCCTGGCGCACGATTTACCTCCAGCGCTTGTCGATCCTGCCCTGAGATGATCCACAGATTGAGCACCGATCATCCCTGGCGCCTTGACAAGCTCCATTCCAGACGCCATCGCCAAAATGCGACAAGCAAATGCCAATTTATAGTATGTAGCCTAACTTCTATCCCGCGGAGTCGAACACGCTACTCCTTGCCAAGCACACGTCACGAGTTCCAATCCACTCTCTTTTCTTTTCTAACTTTCAGTATGTTTTTCTTCCATCCCCCTCCGTGATGATATCTTTGAACGAAGAACCGCCAGGAATCATCGGCAGGACGTGCTCCTGAGAGAAAAAAAATTTGGAAACTCTTTGAGCTATGGTCAATCGATCAACTGATAAGCACAAACCTGATGAGGAACAATCACGTCTAAAAGGTATGGCCCGGGAGTGTCAAGCATTTTCTGGATTGCTGCTTTGAGATTGGAGCGCTTTGTTACTCTAGCACAGGGAATCTAGCAAAGAGAAAGCTTTTAGAAAACGTACGGGAACAATTCAGCAAACCTTGCATCCCTCGGCGAACTTCAGGAAGTCGGGAAAGATCTCGTCCTCGTGGTCAGGATCTCCAAGATAAGTGTGAGCCCTGTTTGCCTGGAGAAAGCACAGAGGTTAGAAAACGCTACTTAGTCTATCCGAAAGATTAAACCTTGTAGAATCTATCCTCCCACTGTACAACCATTCCCAAGTGCTGGTTGTTTAACACCATGATTTTCACGGGGAGTTTTTCCACGTGAATCGTCGCTAGCTCCTGAAATTACGAGCGGAGTACGTGAAATGAAAACGTTAAAGCTCGCACCGACCTGGACATTCATGAGAAAACTTCCATCTCCATCGATGTCAATCACAGGAACGTCAGGGAAAGTCGCTGCAGCTCCAATCGCAGAAGGTAATCCAAAACCCATGGCTCCCAATCCTGTCGAGAAAAGTTGTGACACTCCGAAAAAAACAAGAGAAACAAACCTCCTGAAGTAAGCCATCTCCGAGGCTTGTCATACTTGAACCATTGCGCCGCCCACATTTGATGCTGGCCAACCCCCGTAGAGATGATAGCATTTCCTTGAGTGATCTCGCACAGAGTTTGTATAGCGTGCTGAGGAGCAATGCAGTCGTCTCCAAACTCCACGTACTTCAATGGCCACTTGAGTTTCTGCTCCTCAAGCTCCGCTATCCAGCTTCCAACATCGGGTTTTACTTTCTGCTCCCTCAGCAGCAAGTTCAAGCTTTGAAGCGCTGGCTTTACGTCGGCACACAGCGAGACGTGAGGCTGCTTGTTCTTCCCAATCTCGGCCGGATCAATGTCAATATGAACAATGCTGGCCCTGCTAGCGAATGCTTCCAGCTTGCCTGTTACTCGGTCGTCAAACCTCACCCCGAAAGCCAGAAGTAAGTCCGCTCCATCCACAGCGTAGTTTGCATAAACAGTCCCGTGCATTCCCAGCATATGCAGCGACCGCGAATCCGACTGTGGAAAAATCCCCAGTCCCATCAGCGTCATCGTGATCGGGATCCCCGTGAGCTTCACAAACTCTCGGACTTCTTCGCTCGAGTTCATGCAACCTCCACCACAGTACACCACCGGCCTCTTCGAGTTTGCAATCAGTCTCACGATCTGCTGGAGCTGCGCCACCTCCGGGAACCGAGGCAGCCTCTGCATGTAAGCGTTGAGCTTGATCGGCTGCGACCAATTCGGTATCGCAAACTGCTGCTGGACGTCCTTTGGAATGTCGACGAGAACCGGCCCCGGCCTTCCGGAGGAAGCCAAGAAAAAAGCCTCCTCGATCACCCGGGGTATGTCCTCCACGTTCATCACCAAATAGTTGTGCTTCGTGATGGATCGAGTGACTTCCACGATCGGAGTCTCCTGGAAAGCGTCGGTGCCGATCATCCTTCTCGGCACTTGTCCCGTGATCGCCACCATTGGAACACTGTCAAGCGCAGCGTCGGCCAGGCCGGTGACAAGATTGGTCGCTCCAGGCCCCGACGTTGCTATGCAAACTCCAACTTTCCCGGAAGCTTTTGCATAGCCCTCGGCAGCAAACACTTCGCCTTGCTCGTGGCGGCAGAGAACGTTCCTGATGCACGTAGAGCGAGTGAGAGCTTGATGGATTTCCATGGAAGCGCCGCCTGGATACGCGAAGACTATGTCCACGCCCTGCCTTTCCAGAGCCTCTACCAAGATGTCGGCCCCCTTTCTTGGCTCAGAATCGCCATAGCGCGACTGGAACAAGCTCGCTGGCGGCGATGCTTCGCTTTGCTTCCGAAATATCGTGCTTGAGCCTTGCGATTCCTTGACAATCACTCTCGGCTCCTCAAACGGCTCTATCCCAGCCCGGATTCTACCCCTGCTGCTGGAAATGCCTCTCCGAATTGGAGAAATGAGCTCCGCCAACGAAAGATTCTCCTCCGATCTTGAATTCAAGCCCGTGCTTCTGCGACATACCTGCATTGCAATCGCGCCTCCCGCAATGCCGGTGGCCGCCATCGCTGTGCTCTAAAACCCTATCCTCTCTCTGTTTTTAGGGTTCTTAGTTTGGTCTAACTAAGCATGAAAATCTCCATTCACTGTCCACCACGTGGACAGAACAAAAGCTCTCCCTTCCGAGCTACACGTTAGCTTTAGGGCTCCTCACGGAATGCGCGAAGATCATGGACGCGATTTCGATGCCGCATTCCTCGATCCGAGTTCCGCAATCTCTCCAGGTACTTCACAATCGCAGCGTGAATCGATCGAGAATGTTACTGATCGATTTCAAAATCGCGCTCTTTGTGTTCTTTCGCGATCGTAGATACTACAAAGGCGCCAGGGATACGATAAAATCTTGCCAGGCTCGCTCTGGAGCAGAGATCGAGCATCGAATCCACTTGTTGGAGCAAATGCCAGTCGATTGGGAGCTCCAAGATCATCTCCATTGCTCTCATTTATTCCAAAAAGAGGAGCGCCCGTGAGGTGCAGTGATACATCACCGACCACTTTTCACAGAGTAAGCGTTGGATCGATTTGATTGTGTCAAAGTTTCCTTCTTTCCTTTCTCACTCTTTTTGCGCAGCCAAACGATGAGAAGCTCGAGAACGAGACTTACAAATACTGGAACGCTACCACTGAGCAGCTGGCTGGATCGGCTACTCTCGCGTTTTTATTACTACAACTTCCACAGACCATTCTCAATGCTCAAAACCTCATGGCCGGGAATAATAGTGCATTGTTTGCAGTCTCCTGGATGGTAAGATTTTCCTTTTGATCTTTTTCGAGTAACATTGTGTCGGATGGTGTTTGCTGTTTTGTAGAGCTTACTGACGAGTCTCATGGGGAATCTATCGCTGCTTTCTTACTTCGTGATGAAGAAAGAGAATGGAGCCATGATCGTTCAAGCGGTCGGTGTTCTTTCAACTTACGTGGTTTTGGCCCAACTTGCGATAGCAGGTTCTATGCCATCAACAGTTTTTCTCGCGACGTCCATAGCTGTGATAGTCGGCTATGTTATCAATTTTCTTAACTACAAAGGGTATCTGAGAAGCGAGCTTTGGAAACTTTGGCAAGATATCATCAGCGTTGGAGGGGTTTCGGTCCTCTCACAAGTGAGTTTGAAGATGCTACCATTTTTTCGTCTTAGCTTTTCCTTGATTCAGGTAATGTGGTCAACATTTGAGCCATTTCTTCCGTCGACGATACTGCCGGGAGTCTTTGCTTTTGTTACCACCTTAACACTGATCATACAGGTGACAAAAAACTTTCAAAACTTTGAGACGTGATAAGAGCTGGTTGAACTTGCAGGATCGTAAAGGAAAACTATCAGAGCCTTTGCACAAATTCGTTGGCGGCCTTGCTGCTTGGTCCGCTACTCTACTTTTTATGTGGAGTCCCGTCGCTCAAATGGTAAAGACATCACAGCCTCGTCGCTAGCTACTTAATCCACGACTAATTTTGCAGTGGACAAACATCACAAATCCTGCGAATCTACGAGGCCTTTCTGTGATCACCGTGCTTCTAGCTATGATCGGGAACAGCCTGCTACTTCCGCGCGCGCTCTTCACTCGAGACTCCATGTGGTACGCCTCGGCTGCCTCCAAATCCAAGTATCATCAAACTTTACTGTCGCTTCTTTCCAAAGGTTTACAGGGTCGTCGTGGGGAGCTTTGGTTCAAGGATGGGGCCTGTTGCTCAGCATGTATGTGTAAGTTTCTCCGTGCTTGGATTTCTTTTTCCAAGCTAAAGTTTCGATTCTCCAGATACGAGTGCGTAAGTGGGTCTGTATTCTTCGGCATTACTGCTGGATTGGCATTTTGGATAGGTACTGTGCTTCCAAGTTCACTCCAAATATTTTTTCTCATGAACGATCACACAGGAAACATGCTCGTCATGGACTCCAAGGCAAATTCTTTGAGCTCTCCTTTCACGCCACTCGCGGAGCTAGTAAGCTCAACCCGGGAGTAAGAAATGCTGTTAATCTTCTCTAACGCCTGTTAACAAAATAAAGGCATCCCGTTATAATTCGTAACGGGGTTTTGGGCGGGAACTCATCTCAGCCGTCCGTTGGCGATCCGCGTCTGGGCGGGAAATGGAAGTATAAAGTTTGTGTGTTTTCCTCGACCTAGGGAAGGCTTTCGTTTCGTCCCTCTTTTATTTTCGAGAGAGAAGTTCTAGGCGCTCATCAGGTACTCTCCTCCATTCTCTTCGATCGTCTGGCTCGTCTCTCTCACATCGATCGACTCGCAGGGTTCTAGCGATGAAGGGAATCAACAGCGTCGTGTCAGCGCCAGCGATTGTCCCAGCGACGAAGTAATATTTCGGATCTTTCTCTTCTTCGCTCTCGCCTGATCGATCTGGATCTCTCTTCTGGCAGGGACAGCAAGCGAAAGCCAGCCGCGGCGTCCAAAGAGAAGAAGCCGAAGAAGGCCAAGGGGGTCGCCGCCAAGAAAGATCCAAATCTCCCAAAGAGGCCGCCGACGCCTTTCTTTCTCTTCATGTAAGGGCTGGTCGATCGATATCGCGATGGTTTCTCACGATCCGGCTCGTTTTCCAGGTCGGAGTTCAGGCAAGAATACAAGAAAGCGAACCCCGACGTCAAGGGTGTCGGTGCCGTAAGTTCTCTATTCTTCGACATGCTTTCTTTCTAGCTAGGAATTTACTATCGATTGGCAGGTCGCCAAGGCTGGCGGAGAGAAATGGAAGAGCATGACGGACAATGTAAGTCTTTCTTTAACATCGTCGTAGGTTTTTACTTGTTCATTGTTTTCCACGGTCTCCAGGACAAGAAAGCCTACACGAACAAGGCCGCGTTGCTGAAAGCCGCGTACGCGAAGGATCTCGCAGAGTACGAGGAGACCCAGACTGCCGAAGGATCTGGAGAGACGAAATCGGAGATGACAGAGGATGCCGATCAGAGCACGCTGGTAAGAAGTCTTTACGAAATTCTAGGATCTTCCATTGTTTTATTGCATCGTTCTCGTTTTCACGATTCCTTTCCAGGACGACATGTAAACAGAATGAGCTAGTAGACTACCTGTACACTGTGCATAGCTAGCTAGTAGCTCGCAACGATGTCGCAGTTTGTGTAAACATTTCTCGTTTACTTGCTCAATTTCACGAGTAAGAAAATTTTCCTTACCACTTACCGTCAGCGCTGTCCAAAGAGGAGAAGCTTTCGAGAAGGAATCTAGTCGTCTTTGGAGTTGAACTGTCTGTACATCGTGGCTTCTAACGTCAGCACAGCAAAGCGTGCCTGCAACTTATAACTGGTTAGCAAACTTTTCACGTTAAGTTTTATGCTTGTTTGCTGTTGTCCCAAGCTTACGCCCATCTTCCGTGCTTACAGGTCGAGTCGGAGCTTATGAACAGTTCTGAAACGTTCTGCCTATCGCAAGTACACTGATGCTGCGATTCCTTTAGTAATCAGAAGGATTCGGTTCAATCCCCGGTAACAAGATTCCCTTGACTTTGGCTAGTCTACACGCATCGCTGGTAACCTTCTCCTTCTCCACCCATAGTTTGTTCAAGCTCGGGCAACCGGCTAACACCATTGCTACGCCCGCAGGACTAATCCCGTCACAGCTTGTGATCACCAGGTTCGAGAGTGCCCGGCATTTCTGTCCTATAAACTCGAGGGTGGCATCCGTCACCTTCCGGCACCTACGCAGTCTCAAGTGGATCAACCTGTCCCCGCTCGAGTGCAGCAGTCCCGTGATCTCTCTATCCGCCAGGTGGTCATTCTCGGAAACGTCCAACCGCCGGAGACTCTTGAGATCCTGCCCGAGGTAAGCCAAAGTTCCCGTGTCCTGGACGATGGCCCGGCACCGTATTAACACCAGCTCTTCCAGGCTCGACTTCATCTGCGTGCCGAGGAGCTTGAAGCCGTTCCCGGTTCCCATCCAGCAGCTATACAGGCGCAGTATCTTCAGCGACAGGCAGTTCTGCGCAATGATCGCGAGGTCCTCGTTAAACAAATCCAGCGGCAGCCGCAACTCCAGAGTCTCGAGCGACTGGCAGCTGCGAACGATGCGGTGCAAGCCGTTCATGTCCCCGCCATCCATGAAGATGAGAACCTTGAGCCCGTGGCAGACCTCGGCAACCATGAGCAGCACCTGGGTGGCGATACACCGGCAGCGTCTCAGCCGAAGCTCCTGGAGATTGGGCAGGCACCAGGCCAGCGACGCGATGTCCGAGTCTCCAATCCCCTGGCAGCCGAAGAACTCGAGGCGGCGGAGCTTGTGGCAGCTCCGCCATAGCCACCCGAGCCCACTGTTCCTGGCGCCGATGCCCTCGACGCAGAGCTTGTCCAGCGGGAGATCGCCGTCGGGGACGCCAGCCAGGTCGGAGCTGTCGCCGCTGAGGCAGCCGGTGAGCGAGAGCTCGGACAGGGACCGGAACTCGTTGAGCACGGGCAAGTGCTGAGTCGCCAGCGCGACGAGCTCCAGGGAGACGAGGCAATTGCATGCTCGGGCCAGGGGCTCCAGGCCGGAGCTGGTGACGGGGCCGGCGAGGAAGCGGAGCTCGCGCAGCAGTGGACAGGAGGACGCCATCGCCGAGAGGATGAGGTCCAGCGCCTGGGAGTCATGCTGGTCGCCCTCGGAGACGACGGCGAGGGAGACGAGGTGGGAGTACCTGTGGAAGAGGGCGTGGATGGAGGAGCACAAGGAGAGGATGGTGGAGGGGTCGGGGACGCAGAGGCCGAGCTTGGTTTTGATCCGGCCCTCGAGGGAGAGCCATCTCTTGCAGACGAGGGTGGCGGATTTGCGGTCTTGGGTGGAGTGGAGGCGGGAGAGGATCTCGGACAGGAGCTCGTCGCAGAGGAGGGTGTTGATGAGGTCGCCGGGCTCGTCGCGGGTAAAGTGGCCCATAAAGAGAGAGAGAGAGGTATCGTCCTATCTATCTATCCATCCATCCATTTTCTCTTTCTCTCTTCTCTCTATCTAATCTAACCGTGTTTGTGTGATGTTCTTCTACCTATTGCGCTTGGCGAGGAAGGGAAGGAAGAAGACGAGAGGCCCCAAAATGCGAGCGGAAGAATGGGGAATTTTTACGTGCCTGACACGTGTCGGGATCGTGGATCCGACGGACAGACGCGTCTTTTGATGTTGCCGGGATCGATCTCTCGCTTTGCCGCCAGGAATTGATAGAATATGCTTTCCCAAATTTTTTGCGCATATTCCAAGCACAAAAGGGTTTGGCCCATGCAGGTTCGAACCTATTACCTTGGAGTTATTAGCATTAATTTAGAAATTTCAAGGAAAAATTATTTGTATAATAAGAAACAAAATTAGAACTGTTTATGGTAATTATTTTCATGAGCTTATGAGCTTTACAAACCATGGATGACACTTGGCTTCCAATCCTCAGCTAGAAGGCTTGATATGTCCTCGGAGCTGGTGTACCGGCCGATGGCTCCTTGGTCGAGCAACTCAAGCAGTGCGGGAGACTTGATGCATCGGGGGGTCTTGTACTGGCTGGCTGAAGCTCCGCTCTCGATCGCTTTCTCCATGAGTTTCTCAAACGTCCCTTGCTTCACAGTCACCAGTTCCAGCGCTCCCAGAGTCTTGTCCACCCTTCCAACCAGGTAAGCGGCATTGAACCCTCTATCCAGGGCATTGCACGAATCCCTCAGCTCCTCATGCCTGGAGTTATCCCCATCGTTCTTGAGCTCCCAGTAGATCACGTAGTGTGGACGTTCCTTGGTAGCGAAATCAGCGCAGCTGGTGAAGTTTGCGATCTCCAGGGGACCGGCACTGCCCATGACAACCTTTTGGAGTTCTTGTTCGTCAACCTTCTCCGCATTGATGCTCAGCACGGCGTTCTTGCGATAGGAGAAAGCGACGATGGGCGACTCGTGGTGGAATCCGGTCACTTTGACAACATCTCCAATCCTGTAGCGATACAATCCTGGAAGAGATAAAAGAAAAGAAAAGATCTTTGCATGAACAAAGAAAGGCTGACCTTCAAACGTAGTCACCACAAGTTCATATTGCTTTCCCACTTGAAGGTCCTTAAAACCAAGAGTCTCTCCTTGCTGATGATCAGGAACTTCTTCCGGATCGACCGGAATGAACTCGAAGAACATAGTGTAGGGGATGAGCGTGAAAACAACTTCCTCCGGGGGAGTGGCAGGCCGCATATTGATTCCAAGGTAACCCTCCGACGCAGAGTAGTCAAATCCCACAATCGCCAACTTATCTCCAGCGTACTTCTTGAGCACAGGAATGTAAGGTTCCATGGCACCAGTTACAACCGTGTGCACGTATTTGGCTCTCGGCCAAAGCAGCGGAAGCAAACCAGACCATCTCGATTCTTTGCTTGTGACGAAGATCTCCGAGATCTCCCTTGCAACTTGCGACGAATCCTTACCTCTGAGCTCGCGCTCCATGAGCTTCAAGACCGGCACCCTGAGCTTTTCATCCGTGACCTTGCTCTCGCTCACACGCCGAGCGGATATGTCCTCGCATAGAATCTTCCAGTCGCTCTCGAGAAGCCTGAACGCCTCACTGAGCGTGTAGGCAAAGGTTGCGTGTATGAACTCAATCTTGTGGCGCTGGACGAGGCCGCAGAGTAAGTGGCAGTAAGTCGTTTGCTGCCAATCCGATCCGGCAAGCAGCGCCTCGTACGGAGTGGCGAGAGTTTCCGCCTCTTGGTTGTACGCTTCGCTCTTGTAGTAGTTTGTTGATCCGGCTCCTAGTAACAGGCCAGACTTGGCCTTATACTGTTCTCCGGAATACACAAAGTGCAGTCCAATGGGTTTGGTGCTCTCCAGCGGGAAGACTCTGGCAAAGATCCGGTCAAGCTTATATGCACCAACATAGATTCTTACTCGTCTCTATAAGCATTCGAGGATGCGTAAGCTCTGGCTAGCAAAGAGTATCCACAGTTTGTCTGCGGTAAGATCTTATGCTTGCCAGACGACGTCCCTGAGCTGGATTCATGGCGCGCATTCGAAACATTAACTAAAGATAGGAAGAGAATATAAAAGATCGTACCTAAATGAAAAGTATAGAATCGGATCGCAGCCCAAGAGGAGGTGAGAAGTTCCATGATCAGCTATCTGTTGGAGTTCTGGAGAAATGTTGTCGTAGGAGATGATTGGAAGCTGAGTCTTGAAGGATTTCAAACACAGAGGCTGCCCGAACCTTTGTAGATAGTGGCAGCTGCCATTTCTCTGCAAAATTTGGACGAGTGCCTCCTCCTGGGCTTGCACCGCATTCTTGCACACAGCCTCAAAGTCCTCCATGAGAATAACGTGGCTTCATCCTCCCTGTTCTTTATAGTGCCAATGCGTTAGTTTGGGTCATAAAAAAGCTTGCACAGGGGCACATGTTTTGACTTTAAGGCTGTTCTCTTTTATTTACAACACACGCCTCCCGTTAAACACCATCCTGATTCACTCTCTCTCCGCTTACCTGGCGATGACGTGGCATCAGCCCTCCTTTTTGTTTTATCTCCAGCGCACTCCCTCTCCCGTCCGTCGCCGCTGCACACTCCCGCCCGCGGCTATCGCCCGCCCGCTCGCCCTCACGGCTCCCGCCCGCACTCCCACCCGCCCCCGCACGTCCGCCCGCGCCCAGCGTGCGCCCTAAAATTACTTCCACGTGGCCACAGCCCCAACACTTACCCAAATTTCAATCAGCGCGCGCGTGGACGCCTTTCTACGTGCTTTACGTGGCCAATGAGTGTCATGGATGACCATTAGGAGTGGTAAACTTATGAAATCTTCTCGCTAATTTAAATATATTGCAATGTAAGTATATAAAGAGTTTGTTTTTTTTATTTATTCTTTGCTAAGATTGAGTTTTTCGTTTAAAGAGCTTTTCTTTCTTGTCTTCCTCTACCTAGTAAAAGGAGTTGCTTTTGGACTACTAGAAGCTTTTCTTTTACCTGTAATTCTTTCCACCAAAGGTTTTGCTCGCTTCAAGGATGTACCATAACTATCAACACGTTGTTGAAATTCTGCTGTAGGATGAATAAGATTGTCTGGCCTGGCTTTAAAAGTTGCAACCTTCTGCTATATCATTTTTAAATTATTGTCAACCATAGATAAAAAAGCTTTTTTATCAGGAAGATCTTGTAAGATATCCATCATCTTTTGTTGTAATGTTGTTTTTGTAACTTTTGATGGAGTGATATCTTCCTGCTTAAAGTTCATATCAATATTTAAAATTTATTTAGTGTAAATTACCTCTATAGTAGTCCTTAGCTGAATTTCTTGTTGATGCTGTATATTTTGATGGATATCTTCCTGCTCAATATTCATATATATTAGTATATAAAATATGTTAGTTTACCTCTAATGTAGTCTCCAATTGAATTTCTTGCTCATGATAAACATCTTGATGGATGTTTTCCTGCTTAAATTTTTATAAGTATTTCAAAATTTTAATTAATAAGCGAATTACCTTTGTCATAGCTTCCAAGTCAAGTGCTTCAAAATCTTGATGACGATAAAATAAATCATCTGGCCCAGGTTCTAAGATTGCATGCGATTGTGATGGTTGAACCTCATAACTAGTTGTAATTCAATTGGTTTTTTCTCCTTGTTTTAACATAATAACTTTTGCTTGATGCTTGCAAAAGTTTCTTTTGGTTGCCCATGGACAATTACACCAAGTCGGAAAAGCTCAATCACTGTGTCTTTCACCTCCGACAACAAGATACCATATAGTTGGATCTGAAGAGGATTGTACATAGGATTTGTGAGTATTGTCCTTATCGAATTTTACTTGAGAGTCGTTAATATTTCTTGCTTTAACAATCGCACCATCGATTAGTTTTTCATATGCATGGTTTCGGATAAAACCATGATCTTTGCAATAAGTAGTAAACCAGTACCTCGCATGAACCTTAGTAGTAAGTTGATGAATTGCCCAATCCATCCTTCGATTGCGACCATGTTTTTTTTCGGACGAGAATATAGCTTTCATATTTGCATGGAATGCCTCAATCGAACTATTTGTCTCCTTGTTAGCATGAGGGAAATTTTGAGTAGCAACAACCCACATATCTATCAAATATAAATTAAAATAAATTATAAAAATTAAATTATTGATTCACTTACCAACTTTGTCTTTCCATTCGTCTTAAAAATACTTGATAAAGGCTACTTCATTTTGAAAATCCACCTCAAAATGTTCAATAAGTTGTTTAATCTCAGCTTGCATAATATTATCATCATGAAAAGCTGCATGAATTGAATCTTCTGCAGATTTGTTATCTTCCAAATACGTACACTCTGTGCGTCATTCTAATGTAATCGATAAGTGAAAGGAATCTTATGTTTGAGCCAATTCCTCCTTACATGCCAAATACATAATAGAATTTGACAATCAAATGTAGCTCTATATAGAAGAAAACAATTAAATTATTTCATATCAAATTAATTATCTTATAGCATTAATCTCTGCTTCAGCATCATCAATCATTATCGCCCGTGGTTTCCAGTTTGGCATATGTTCTAAAACTCGTTTTTTAAGAGCTATCATCCAATTCTTCATATGTTCTCCTTTCTCACTAGAAGTTAAAACCCATGCAATTGGAATACCATTTCCATGATAATCAAAAGAAAGTATGGTGTATAATGGGAACTGTAAATTATTAAGTATTAATCACTTAAAACTGAATGAAAATATTACCTTATAGCGATTAGTTCCAAAAGTTGCGTCAAGACTCAATAAATTATTATTTGAAAAGTCCAAAATCCACCTCAAAATGTCCAATAAGTTGTTTAATTTAAGTTTGCATAATATTATCTTCATGAAAAGCTGAATGAATGAAACTTTCTCGGGATTTGTGTTCTTCCAAATACGTACACTCTGTGCGTCATTCTCATGTAATCGATAAGTTGAAAGTGAATACTTCCTATGCAAATTGTTGATATCCTGCATAGTTAGAAAATCATCTCGATGAGGAGGTTCACCAGCTGACTTGTTCCTTTCCACAATCTGTATATGCTCATTATAAATCTGATTTGATGTGAAATCCTGCTGAATCATATGAATCACCCAATGTCGAATATCTGCTGAAAGCTTCTGAGGAAATGATGACTTTCCCCCAGTCGGATCAAGTTGACCATGACAAGGAATCCCATTCTTATCACAATGTTCTCTATGATAATATGTAATCTGCACATAATCAGGCCATTTGTAAAACTATTTGACCAAAAAATTGCAAAAGCAACCCCGCTTATTAGAACTTCGACCTAGTCTACTTCCAAATTCTGACTTTGGTGTAGATTCAGCAACTATAATAGAGGATGTTTCACGAGCATCTTGTTTTCCATATTCACACCAATACCTGTATCATGAAGTTAGTAATTATATTTTGTTAAAAAGATATACCTGATTAATGATAAAAAGCTTGTGTTTTTGGGTCATTTCAAATCTCCAGGATCACGATTTTTATTAGAAAATCGCCAAAAATCCACTCCATCACCCCTTCTCCTTTCACCATCTAGAAACTTGTTCACATCCTTCTGTAATATATACACAATAGGAGCTATAGTTTCATTTGATTTAGACAAATTCCAATCTAAATCATCTGCACAAAAATAATCCTTTTCATGGAATTCTTGCACCTCATCAAGCCATGGGGGATCCTAAATGATTTTCTTGAATCAATATGAAATTGAATTGATTGCTTACCTCTGGAAATTGATGTGCTGCTGCCATGCCCGATCATAAAAGAAACAGAAACGTTTTTAGGTCAATTATGGGGCAACCATCGGGCATGAATGGGTGGACCAGGGCGTGTTGATTGAAATTTGGCTAAGTGTTGGGGCTGTGGCCACGTGGAAGTAATTTTAGGGCGCACGCTGGGCGCCGGCGGACATGCGGGGGCTGGTGGGAGTGCGGGCGGGAGCCATGAGGGCGAGCGGGCGGACGGGAGCCACAGGCGGGCGATAGCCGTGGGCGGGAGTGTGCAGCGGCGACGGATGGGAGAGGGAGTGCGCTGGAGATAAAACAAAAACGAGGGCTGATGCCACATCATCACCAGGTAAGTGGAGAGAGAGTGAATCAGGATGGTGTTTAACGGGAGGCACAACGCACAATTGAGTATGTGTATTATAAATTTTTCATGGGACATGTGTATAAATCCATAGACAATCCACAGGATTGCCTAAGACATGCAGATACTTGAGGATTGCCATATGTCATATTACATTGAGTGCTAAAATGTTTAAAAAAATGATATATGGATAGAGCTACCACAATTCTTCTTTCTTGATAACAAAATTGTGCCTATGTTACTGTAATTGCTGTCAAAAGGTATGGTGATCAAGGTTTAAGAGAGTACAATTTGTGGAGAAAGCAAAGCAAGAATTTTTTAAAGATAAAGTTTAGTTTAAAGTGATCTTTCCAACCTCTTAAACAAGAAATTATGTCTCTCAAAAAACTTAAACCTTGTAAGCCATACCTAAAATGCAAGGTATGATATAGAGGTTGTCCATGCCCATGCATCATGTCAATGCAATGTTTATAAGAAACAAATTTGTATAATTTCCATATGGTGTTATGTTCATGTTAGGCGCAAGTTTTGACCACGTGGTCAACTTCGGTCGGGAAGCTCAAGAGTATATATTAAAGCATGTTAGGGTAAAGAATTTAATTTACCCTAAGGCTCATAGTGCACAATGGAGCTTTTGAGGTAGTTTAAGAGTGGTTGGGTGGTAAAGAACTTCAAGAGGAGGCATAATATAATTTAGGGAGATTAAATCTTTATTTTTTTGCACCAGATCATAAAATTGGTATTAGAAAAATTGGTTGTGATGGCCAATTGGAATCCTTTGTTGATGGTGGTGCCAATGATGGTGCTGATGGAGGTGCGAAGGTTTGGACCATTCAAGATATTGTTCATGAGTTGCGAGCCTTTAATTAAAATTAGCAAGAGATGCAAAACGAGATGCATGGCATGATGGGTAAGTGTGTTAAATGTAATGCACTTGTATTTGGAGTCAAATTCCAAGCCCGCTGCATTACAAAACGAGGGTCTAGTATAATCCCACGAGCACCAGCTCCCCTTATCCTGCATGCAAAATGGTGTCAGATGGAGTTTGGCACAATTTTAGCATACTGGTGGCTTAACACAAGGAGGGTACCCCACCAACTAGAGCAGCATAGAGTTTGGGCTTAGACCTAAGTTGGACGCAGAACAAAGAGCAACACAGCCTAGTGGGAGCCAAATTAATGTCTTAGGTGGTCAAATATGCATTCCAACTACTATCCCTACTATACATTTGAAACCCCCCATAGCCCCCTCTTTGAGGAACACACACTTTGGGATTTCACCCCAAGCCTCCCTTAGTACCAGGAGTTAGTCTCTAAGACAAGCTCAAAATTTACTAAATATGTAATATCCCTAAATTGCAAATTTGGACACGGGATAAACACCATACCAATCTTTACATTCCATAAATATGCCAAATGAGTGAATCTAGACACTTTCCATAAATAGCATTTGAAACCGAAATGAGACTAACACAAAGGGCATGATAGTAAAGGTGTTTGGTAGACACGGTAAACTATCATCCAGCAATATTGAGGGACTAATCTCAATACGCGAGGGTTCTTATCACTAGCCAGTGCAAGACATAACGAGACGGGAACTCCTTACCGGGCTAAGTATGTTTAGGTAATAGCACGTAGGAATTCCATTCTTATGCTCGTCAGGTCTAAGTACACTCAAAATGCCTAGTTAACTCCACTAGCACAAGAGGGGCTACCCAAGGGATTTAACTGTACCGACCTCCTACCATTATGGCAGTAAGGAAAGAGTGTCTATAAGGACTGACTGACAAGTATCTTTCGATACCCGAAGTCACATTCGCAACACTCTCCCCCCTTGCGAAAGATCGACGTCCTTGTTGATGCATACCCGAGTCTAACAAACCGTCAAGGAAATAACTCTGAAAGTTAATGGAAAGCACACTATGTGGGAAACACACTGACTTAAATGAATTATGGAATGACCTCTCCTCTACATCCAAAGACGTTAAGACTCAAACACCCTCCGGCCGTCACCAATAAGAAAATGACTAACAGAGTTAGCCACCCTTGCTGCTCTAAGTACCACTCGGCTCACAAAGGAATGATACATCCCTGCCCACAGGGACATAGGGAGAAGGCCAAAGGCCCAACTTCCCCTGAGCAAGAAATCAACCCCATCGGGAAGATTTAGACAACTATTATAAACCGGCAGATTAAGTTGTTTACACGACTATGCCTTTTTTCAAAAATGGGTCATCGAGAAAGAGATAGAGATTTGTGATCAGTCTATAATAATTATCCCCATGGCTATGGATTGGACCCATGCACTGAAGTGTGAAGTCAGGTTACTAAAATTGACCCAAGTACAAATGAACGAGAGAAATGAAACTTTTGATTTATAGAAATATATTACTTTAATAATTTGCAAGATTTATTACAAGATTTACAAGATTTAAGCTAGTCTTTATTACAATTCTCATACTCGGTGACAAGCTCACGAGCATGTGTAAGATTCCTAAGAGGTTCCCAAGTTGATTCACAAGTCAAGTAACCTTTCCAGTTAATGAGATATTCCTTCACACGAGCCCATCTCCAAAACTGGGAATCCAAGATAGTTTCAACTTTGTATTCTAGTTCACCGTCCACAATGTCTGGTGGCAGATGAATCTCCCCGTGTTGCACAACATCCATAATGTAAGGAGCTGATAGATTGGCATGAAATACATTATGAATATTAGACATCTCTGCAAGAAGATCTAACCAATAGGATACATCACTGATTCATTTCAACACCTAATAGGGTCCAACATGTCTCAGTAATAGCTTTCGAGATAAAAATCCCTTAATGTTCAAATTCCGGGAAGATAGCCATACCTAGTCCCCCACTTGATAGGATACATCCCAATGATGCTGATCCTTATTACATCAATACCTATCATGAGCTTTACCCATCACCTCAGTAGCTCTAGACCAACTTTGGCATAGCTGCTCCGCATAAGTCTCAACGTTGGGACTAACACTTCGGGCATTAATTTTGGTACAACAATCTATTGAGGCACCCCACGAGCATTCCCTTGCAACATCTCCCATGGAGAACAGTCAATAGCACTGTGAAATGTGTTGTTATAACAAATTTCTACTGTATCCAAATGCTCAACCTAGTCGCATTGGTTTGCCGCGACATAGTACCACAAATAATCCTCAACTTGAGTATTCACGCGTTCAATCTGCCCATCAATTTGAGGATGATAAACCATACTAAACCTCAACTTGGTACCAAACATTTGGAATAATGTGCCCCAAAACTTCCCCGTAAACCTCGAATCTCTATCCAAGATAATCAGGTAAGTGGCATTGAAGCCTCTATCCAAGGCATTTCACGAATCCCTCAGCTCCTCATGCCTAGAGTTATCCCCATCGTTCTTGAGCTCCCAGTAGATCACGTAGTGTGGACGTTCCTTGGTAGTGAAATCAGCGCAGCTGGTGAAGTTTGCAATCTCCAGGGGACTGGCACTGCCCATGACAACCTTTTGGAGTTCTTGTTCGTCAACCTTCTCCACATTGATGCTCAGCACGGCGTTCTTGCGATAGGAGAAAGCGACGATGGGCGACTCGTGGTGGAATCCGGTCACTTTGACAACATCTCCAATTCTGTAGCGATACAATCCTAGAAGAGATAACAGAAAAGAAACGATCTTTGCATGAACAAAGAAAGGCTGACCTTCAAACGTAGTCACCACAAGTTCATACTGCTTTCCCACTTGAAGGTCCTTAAAACCAAGAGTCTCTCCTTTCTGATGATCAGGAACTTCTTCCGGATCGACTGGAATGAACTTGAAGAACATAGTGTAGGGGATGAGCGTGAAAACAACTTCCTCCGGGGGAGTGGCAGGCCGCATATTGATTCCAAGGTAACCCTCCGACGCAGAGTAGTTGAATCCCACAATCGCCAACTTATCTCCAGCGTACTTCTTGAGCACAGGAATGTAAGGTTCCATGGCACCAGTTACAACCGTGTGCACGTATTTGGCTCTCGGCCAAAGCAGCGGAAGCAAACCAGACCATCTCGATTCTGTGCCTGCGACAAAGATCTCCGAGATCTCCCTTGCAACTTGCGACGAATCCTTACCTCTGAGCTCGCGCTCCATGAGCTTCAAGACCGGCACCCTGAGCTTTTCATCTTTGACCTTGCTCTCGCTCACACGCCGAGCGGATATGTCCTCGCATAGAATCTTCCAGTCGCTCTCGAGAAGCCTGAACGCCTCACTGAGCGTGTAGGCAAAGGCTGCGTGGATGAACTCAATCTTGTGGCGCTGGACGAGGCCGCAGAGTAAGTGGCAGTAAGTCGTTTGCTGCCAATCCGATCCGGCAAGCAGCGCCTCGTACGGAGTGGCGAGAGTTTCCGCCTCTTGGTTGTACGCTTCGCTCTTGTAGTAGTTTGTTGATCCGGCTCCTAGTAACAGGCCAGACTTGGCCCTATACTGTTCTCCGGAATACACAAAGTGCAGTCCAATGGGCTTGGTGCTCTCCAGCGGGAAGATTCTGGCAAAGATCCGGTCAAGCTTATATGCACTAACATAGATTCTTACTCGTCTCTATAAGCATTCGAGGATGCGTAAGCTCTGGCTAGCAAAGAGTATCCACAGTTTGTCTGCGGTAAGATCTTATGCTTGCCAGACGACGTCCCTGAGCTGGATTCATGGCGAGCATTCGAAACATTAACTAAAGATAGGAAGAGAATATAAAAGATCGTACCTAAATGAAAAGTATAGAATCGGATCGCAGCCCAAGAGGAGGTGAGAAGTTCCATGATCAGCTATCTGTTGGAGTTCTGGAGAAATGTTGTCGTAGGAGATGATTGGAAGCTGAGCCTTGAAGGATTTCAAACACAGGGGCTGCCCGAACCTTTGTAGATAGTGGCAGCTGCCATTTCTCTGCAAAATTTGGACGAGTGCCTCCTCCTGGGCTTGCACCGCATTCTTGCACACAGCCTCAAAGTCCTCCATGAGAATAACGTGGCTTCAGTGCCAATGCCTAGTTTGTTTAAAAAAAGCTAGCAGATGAGGCACGTGTTTGACTTTGTTATCCTTTATTTACAACACACAATTGATTAAATTTTTTGTATGGGACATGCCACATGTAAACCCATGGACTGACATGCAGATACTTGAGGATTGCCATATGTCATATTACAATTGAGTGCCAAATTTTAAAAAATATCTCCTTTCTTGCTTTTCTCCACAAATTGTACTCTCTTAAACCTTGAGCATCATACCTTTTGACAGCAATTACAGTAACATAGACAAGGCGATCAAAGCAAGAAAATAACCTTTTTTTAGATAAATTTTCTACTTCGTGTTCTATAAGGGGCTGGGACAGCCTCCTATAGTAGAGCTCTTCTAGACTAAAGCATAGAATGTGTTTTCGAGATCCTCCAAGGTTTTTTTTCATCTAGAAAGGCAGTAGAATTCCTAGGATTCACATAGCCAAAAGCTTGGTAAGCTTGCACTGCTAGGGTTTCCTTGGAGAAGTGGCTGAAGGATTTGAATAAAATATGGATCTCTTGCTCTGGACGGGGCTATGGGAGAGGGAATGGGGGTGCAATCAGGCCAATTCTCTTCTGGAGGTCATTTTCTAATCTTCACGGAATGCTGGGAGAAGAAGTGCAATTTTCACAAAACGATTAAGCTCTAGATACTGAAGGACAAGTGTTTCAACTCCTTGATGAAGCTACTTCACATTGCCTGGCCTAAGATGAAAGTGTGCAGGCTCTATGATGCACATTTGTTCTTGTTTATCTTCTTTAGCCCCTCCAGTTTTAAATAGTTTAAAGTAATTTCTCAGCCTCCTAAACGAGAAATTATGTCTCTCAAAACTTAAACCTTGTAAGTCATAACTAGAATGCAAGGTATGATGTAGAGGAAGGTGGGTTGTCTGTTTAATGCAATGTCTGTAAGAAACAAACTTGTACAATTTCCACATAACATTATGTTCATGAAAGCAAAATGCTTGCCTAAGCAACAGAAAATATCCTTCTCACAAGCTTTTTCTAGTCACTGTGTCAAACTTGCAAAGATGTGTGCAAAAATGAGCTCTTGTATTCCCTATACCTTAGAGTAAAGGATATTAAAAGCCCTAGCAGCAAAGATCATCATACTATATCCTCCCTAGAAGTTGTAAATTAGAGGTATTTTAAAGACCATTGGTAGGCCTTCTCTAGTGGTTTTGTCATTCCACACAACCTGTGTGCATGGTTAACAATCCATGAAGATTTGTGTTATGTATATACCACTATCATATAACATTTCATTTGAAAATAAATGTAGAGATAAAATCCAAAATATATCATAAAAGAAAGTGCATCCCACAAAAACTACCAAACACTTAAAGATTCTATAGAGCTCTTAGATAGAGTGTGTGTATGGAACAAGCACTCACCTTTATATTTGGAAGATGCACAATTTGGAGAATAGTGACAATAAGAGCAATGCTCTTCTAAAAGCCAAAAGCCTTGATGAAACACTTATGATTGCATCAGTATGACTTATTAGCATATCTTGAGCAATCTATCAAAGTTTACATGTTGGTACATAGTTGTAAGCTTCTAAATTTAGACTTCTTGGGAGTTCACCCAACCCAGTACTATTCAAACCCAAAGACGCTTAACTGTCGCGAATGTGACTTTGGGTATCGAAAGATACTTGTCGACCGGTCCTTACAGACACTCTTTTCTTACTGCCATGACGGCATGAGATCGGTACAGTTGGATCCCTTTAGTAACCCCTCTTGTGCTAGTGGAGTTAACTGGGCATTTCGAGTGTACTTAGACCGGACGAGCATAAGGACGGAATTCTTACGTGCTATTAACTAAGCATACTTAGCCCGGTAAGGAGTTCCCGTCTCGTTATGTCTTGCACTGGCTAGTGACAAGAACCCCCGCATATTGAGATTGGTCCCTCAATATGGCCGGATGATAGCTTACCGTGTTTGCCAAACACCCTCGCTATCATGCCCTTTGTGTTAGTCTCATTTCGGTCCCAAATGCTATTTATGGAAAGTGTCTAGATTTGCTCATCTGGCATATCTACGGAATGTAGAGGTCGGCTTGAACACAATGGTGTTCGTCCCGTGTCCAAATTCGCAATCTAGCGCCATTCCATATTTAGTAAGTTTCGAGCTTGTCCTAGAGACTAACTCTTGGTACCAAGGGAGGCTTGGGGTGAAAGCCCAAAGCGTGTGTTCCTCAAGGGGGGGGGCTGTGGGGGGTTCCAAATGTATAGTAGGGATAGTGGTTGGAATGTATGTCCGACCACTTGAGACATTAGTTTGGCTCCCGCTAGGCTGTGTCGTTCCTTGTTCTGTGTTTGGCTTGGGTCTAAGCCCAAGCTCCATGCTACTCTAGTCGGTGGAGTACCCTCCTCCTCGCGTTAGGCCACCGGTATGCCAAAATTGTGCCAGACTCCGTCTGACACCATTTTGCATGCAAGTGTTGGATACGGGGAGCTGGTGCTCGTGGGATTGTACCGGACCCTCATTTTGTAGTGCAACGGGCTTGAAGTTCGGCTCCAAATTCAGGTGCGCTACATTTGGTATCAGAGGACTTGTCTCAGTGATTCCTATCCAACTTTTGTCAGATTTTCTGACTCAAGTTGTATATGCAGAGACTTTTCTAGTAGATCCGAAGTGACCTGTGTAGAATTAGTTGGATTGCACCATTCAGTAAGAATGTTGTATGCATGTTCAGTTACTGATAGAGGCATGCATGCAGCTAGCAGGATGGTGAAGAGGAACCGTGCTGATGACGCTGAAACCTCTAGACGGGCGAATCGAGAGGAGGAAACTCTTGTTAGAGATGCTGCAGAAGAGGCTGAGGCTGAGTCGGAAGAGGAAGAGCCAAATGCTGCGGCATTGTAGTGTACGGCTCAGGAAGTCGAGATCGAGAATTTGCAAAAGGAGATTCGCAAATTGAAGAAGGAGAACAAGAAGAGGAAGAAAGAAGCTGAGGCAGCTAAACCAGCTAAGCCAGCTAAGCCTAAGCAATCAGACTCCTCTTCAAGTTCTGAGGATGATGAAGTTCTGCAGCCGCCCCCGGTTGCACGAGTTTCAAAGTTCAAGCCCCCAAAACCACCCAACTTCAGAAGCATGCGGGACTATCAGGTTTTGGAAGACTGGGTCTACGATAAGGAGAACTACTTCATAGTGGCAGACATAGATGATCGTACGAAAGTTGCATGCGCGCAATCCTTTCTCACCGATCATGCCAAAACTTGGTGGCGCCAAGTGTGTGCTGAAAAAGGGCAGATTAGAAGTTGGACCAAGATGCGGTCTCGTATCCGTAAGGAATACTTGCCGGATGATCTTGGTCTGAGACTTCGCGCAGAGCTGCGGCGGTTAAAAGCAACGAGGGGATCTCATGCATTACGTTAATGTGTTTGCTCAGAAGCGCATTATGATTGCAAATATGAGTGACGAAGATGCTCGGAGTTATTTTCTGGAAGGTTTAAGTTCACTTTCTCATAATGAGATTTTGAAGTTTAAGCCGAAGACGTACCTGGAGTGTAAGGAGGCAGCGCAGCAAATTGCCTTTAGTCACTCACTCATGGAACTATATCAACAACCGTATGCTGGTAATTCGGATAAGAATAGGAATTCTGGAAATAAACAAGGTGATCAGAAACAGAGGGTGGAAAGCAGGTTCCGCCCTGGAGGCTCACAAGCAATAGTTAACAAAGGTGGTGGTGGTTGGAGATCACCAGCAGCTTCTTCTGGTCCTAGGCCCTCTGTTCCTCCTCCTGGTGAGTACAAGCAACAGCAACCTGCAAAACCTACTCCTAGCGGAACAAGTAGTGTGGGTCATTGCTTCTGTTGTGGAGAGTCGGGACATAGGTCCTCGGAATGTCCCAACAAGCATAAAACAAGATCTCGGGTTAATGTCATGAGGGAAGACGGTGGTGGTGAAGCTAAAGGGGTTGACGAGTTGGTCAATGCAGACTATGAGGAAGAAGAGGTAAGTAACTTTCGTTGCTTTCCTCAAGCTTTTCTTGCAGTCAATGCAAACACTGATCCATTGATGTATCTAGTAGGCTTTGTCCGTGGACACCGAATCCGAGTGATGATTGACACAGGAGCTACGCACAGCGTGATATCTGAAGACTTAGTTAAGTTGTTAGGATTGAATGCTGAGCAAATGTCACCTATGCACTTCCGGTTTGCAGAAGGTGGGCAAGTAGCTAGAAAGTTTGTGAGTGATGTTCCAATAAAGATATCCAAGTGGAAAGAAAGAGTGGACTTGGTAGTGTTGAAGATACCAGATTTTCAAATGGTGTTTGGTATGGACTTCCTCAACAAATATATAAAAGGGATTTATGGTGCTGGACAAAGTCGTATCACGTTGAAGTCCGAAGGACGACCCGATGTGTCTTTCCAGTTACAAAAGCGTTCCTCAAAGGATTGGGATGGAAACTTCCTGACTGCGAGGGCCGCTCAAAAAGCAACTAAGAAGGGAGGTCGGACCTTTTGGGTTCAAGTGATGGAAGCTGAGAGTGTGGGTGACTCTGTTCGAATTAGTGATGGGGTTGATCCTGTACCAAAGAAGATATTGAAGTTGTTGGCGCAGAATCAGGATATCTTCCCGAAGGATTTGCCACTAAGGCTACCCCCTAGCTGTGAGGTTGATCATCAGATTGAGGTTATTCCGGGTTCTAAACCACCTACGAAAGCTCCGTATCGGTTGAACATCAAGGAGATGGCTGAACTCAAGAAGCAACTCACGGAGCTTCTTGACAAAGGTCATATCCGACCTAGCAAGTCACCTTATGAAGCACCAATCCTTTTTGTTATGAAAAAGGATGGAACCATGAGGATGTGTATTGACTATCGGGCACTCAACAAGATCACGGTTAAGAACAGTTATCCTTTGCCTCGCATTGATGACTTGTTTGACCAACTCTTAAAGGCTAAATATTTTACACGACTTGATTTGCGGTCCGGGTATCATCAGATATGG